TGACCTATCAATTTCTCCCATATCTAAACCATGATTGTCCTCAAGCATGAGAACAACATATCAAGTAATCAAATTCAAACAATGGTATTACTCAAATTTTCTATTGCCAAGATACAATTAAAACATATGTCAAATATTAGTGGCAATTTGCAAGAAATATCTCTCCTATTAGCTTTTAAAATCAAGGACTGTTTTAATTTATGACTAACTAATCTAAGAATATAAAATATTCAACCAGCATCCATAAGCAAATGGTTCGACTATTAAACAAAATCTCAACAATAAAATTCATGGATCAGCGGACTAGCAATTTATTCACATTTTTCACTATTAGCACTTTTTTCTAAAATATCCCCACCCTTGATTGATTTTTTTTTTTTTTTGGGAAATGCTTAGTATTTAGCCATTTAAGCGTTTTGACGCAAACTCCGACATTGGCCAAATGAAGGAGCCTGGTTACTCAACTTTTACTGCTAAAGGACCACATACTCATAGCTATCGTTGCTTTTTGACGCGAAAATCAACACTTATGGTGAAGACCTCCGGTTACTAGGCAACGATTCTAGCGGAATATAGCCGAATACTATTCATAAATAAGCGCCAAATTAAAATTAATAATCACACAAACCCACTTCATTTCTTAAACATGGAGAACTAAGATTAATAGTTGAACCAATTTGCATAAAAAAAATACTAGACAAATATTTACAATACTTAGAAAATTTAACCAAAAAGTGCAAAAGTCACAAAATCTCAAATATTCACCAAAAAGATACCCTTAAACTTAACCATGTCATACTTAACACCTTAAACTATAAAATTTTAGCAATAAAAAAAATTTGAGACATCTAACCATCGTTAATCAGAAACAATCAAAAAAATGCACAAAGATAGACAAAAATTGGATAAAATTCAACAAAGTCAAACAAAAAATTTCAACAAAAATGCCTACACTTACACTTTTTCAATGAAATACCGATATACTACTCCCCTCACACCTAAATTTTACATTGTCCCTAATGTAACAGATAAAGAATAAAATACAAAACAAAAGGGACAACGAAACTTCCCTGAGCACGTAATGGAAGGTCTCAAGCAGCTATGGCATAGGTGGGAATGGTCAGTTCTTCCTTTTATCTTTTGTTTGAGCAGAGATGAGAACAGGTAGTGAGGGACTGAGGAGAGGGAGAGCACCGGTGGTGAACGATGGCTAGCGGCGGCGGCTAAATGAAGACGGTGGCTGGAGTGGGCTAGGGAGGTGCTCGGTGCGGTGGCGATGGAGTAGCGGCGGACAGCCAAGCTGGCAAAGGCAGCAGCGGGTAAGGGGGGGAAAAGGGAAAGAAAGAAAGAAGAAGAAAGAAAAAGAAAGAAAGAAAAAGAGAAGAAAGAAGAAGAACCATGGATTTTTTTTTTTTTTTTTTTTTTTGCAGAAAGGAACCCCTGTGTTAGGTGTGGGCACACCTAACTGCCTTCGAGTTTTCTGACCAATTTTCGAAAATTGAGTTCCTTAGGCGTGATCACTTGGCATGGGCACGCCTAATTACTATAGAGTCTTCTGACCGCAGACGAAAATTGCTTTCCTTAAGCGTGACCATCTAGCGTAGGCACGCCTAACTGCTAGGTAGTCTTCTGTCCGCCAAATTAAAACTTCCTTCCTTAGGCGTGACCACCTAGCGTGGGCACGTCTAACTGCTAGTTTCCTGTCACAAAAGCAACAAATCACTAAATGCAACTCACACTTAACAAAAACTCCAAAAACATAAGAAAACTAAAATAAAGGCCTTGGGTTGCCTCCCAAGCAGCGCCTTTTTTTAATGTTTTCGTCTAGACATTGCCATATTTATTCACGGAGGATAAAATCGTATAGCTCGTTTCAGTGTTTCATCTTCTATGTATCCCTGATAACCCTCGTAAATAGAGTAATTCTTGAACGCACGAGGTATGGTCTTCCATGTATTAGTAGATGGCGCCAAACAAACAGGTGATGACCTTAATTCTTCACTCACTCCTCCATCACGAGCATTTATTGGTTCGAGATATTTTGCCATCGCAGCTCTTAACTTATTCCTGTCATGAAATTCAAAATCTTCTAGTATAATAAAATCAATTTCTCTAACAGGAATTAAAGAATAAGAGTTAGAAAAATATTGATTAAGAAATAGAGGAGATGTCACTGCATTTGAAAATTGTTCACTGGATTCATTCACTTGAACCATTTGATATTGGGATTCCATTTCTTGTACTTCAATTCCCTTTTTAATTACATCTTTAGATTCTTGTTCTTGAGACTCTTGCAGTACCATGTCATTTGTCAGGATAATTGCACTCTCATATTTCTTATGATCGATAATAGCTTGTGAGGGCAATTCTTCACACATTCGAGAAGTCAATTGCGTTATCGTAGATGTCAATTGAGTCACTTGATCCGCCAGGTTACTCATGCTCGCTTGTGTCTCCTGATGAAATAAATATGTGTTAGTAGCTAGTGATTCAATCATTTCTTTAAGAGACATACCTAACGTAGATAATGTTTCTTGAAACTCTTGTTGTTGAAAATCCATTGGCCTGGTCGCATAATTAAAATTATAATCATCCCATCATCCTTGATCATACCCGTTTGAATAAGGGTTATATCACGTTTGATATTGAGGTGAAAATTTTTCAAAAGTATCGATTGGAACACTTAGACCATCTTGAAATGCAGGGCATATGTCGGTTGAATGATCTGAGGCAAAATAAGTTCCACAATTTGCAACAGTCCATTGATTATTAGAAAAAGCACGAGTCTCATAACCCATTCTAGAAATAAAATCCAATCTATCACCAAAACACGGAATGTTAGCAGTCATAAACTATATATAAAAAAATAAGAGAAAAATAAAAATAAAAATAATGAACTAAAAAAGAAACAAATTAATCAGGCACTAATCCCCGGCAACGGCGCCAAAAATTGACAGATTGTCGAGCCTGTGCAATAATAATTACCTACTCAAGAGAAATACAGATGTTGTATATAGCGGTGAGTAGGGTCGAATCTACAGGGATTGGGGATAATTCGTTTTTTCTAGAGTTCAAAGTATGGGGGGTTTTAGGATTAAATGCTAATGACTTGCTAACTAAACAAATTAAATGTGCAAAATAATTAATTGGGAGAAATAATCGGGGAAACTCTAGCCAAGGATACACTTAAAAAATAGTTCGTGCAACTGATCATTCATTCAAATATAATTTCAATAATTATTAATAAATTGGTTATAGTTGTCATACACGCGATAAACAACCAGTCTTTCCTTAATTTCTCGATAGTTAAGGTACGACCGTTAACTATTTTTCTAACCCGAAAACAACCCTAAATACGACTGTAGGATTTAATTTCTGGTTTGCATTAAGATTTAAAAAAGCCCAATCCTAATTAACAAACACGCTACGAGGGTTTGTTTAAGTTAGATCGTATGTTTTCCTGACATAAACCCAATTACGCCAGTTGCTACCAGTACGGAAGTAATCGAACAATTACGGATTCAACTACCCCCAATTAGCAAAATAGCCTAAATGAATAATTAAATATTGTGCATCTATTCAATCATACACGATAGCTATAAAAACAATTAAAAGTAGAAAACATATGAATACCAATAAATGGAGGAAGCAGTTAAAATAATTTAGATCTCACAGTAATTGTTGAACCAAATCTTCAGTTGTTCCCTTGACTAGAAGTATAAAATCAGTTCTCCATTAATGGAGAACAAGCCATGCAAATAATTGTTCCAAGCTTTTCCATTGTTTTTCCTTCCAAAAGTCGGCTAAAAAGAAAAAGTACAAAGACAAGAGTTCCAGCCGAATTGTTCCTCCTCCAATCGGCCAACAAGAAAAGAAGAATAAGAACAATAGTAACTATCCCCTTTTTTGTCTCTAGCAAAAGAGATAATGAATTGATGTCTCACGAATCTCTGCTCAATTACCTCATTGATTGGTTTCTTAATACCAATACAACTCCTAAAAAGATTTCTATTACAAATTAATTTCCTTCAACTTTTCTTTTCCTTGAGAATGATCCCCGAAATAAGGAGAGTCCTGACAGCTAACAAATTAGGAAGTTGACTCGGATTGAGAGACTGCCCAATATCAATCCCGTCTTTCTGGCCTTGAATGTAGGTCCCGAATGTATCACCATCAAATTAACTGAAAAATTACCACTTTTAATCATGTTTTGCTCCTTTTCCTACAATTAGCACCATTAACCAAATATAAGTAGAATCAATCAATTAAAATAATATTTGGCTAAAATCAAAGGAAAAAATAATTATAAATTTAACAACAAATTATGACCTATCACAGCTGGTGCAGCAGCTTCTGATGATGTTGGGTTCATCTTTCAAGGATTTCAACAATCAAATCTAAGCGTGGATGGATTAGCCACGGTAACCAACAATACCCTCCTACGAATAACCAACACCACCATATCACAAACTGGGCATGCCTTCTATCCTAATCCCATCAAATTCAAGAGCAAATCTAATAGTTCAGCTTTCTCCTTTTCCACCCAATTTGTGTTTGCTATAGTACCCGATCTCTCAGGCTTAACTGGTACCGGAATGGCTTTCGTGATTGCACCAACAAGAACCCTTACAAAAGTGCCTGACTCGCAGTTTCTCGGCCTCTTCAATAGCAGCATCACAGGAAATCAAACAAATCACGTTTTTGCTGTGGAGCTTGACACTTACTAAAACCAAGATATTGGAGATATCAATGACAATCATGTCGGTACTGATATTAACTCTGTGACCTCCAAGGTATCCATGCCAGCGAGTTACAAAGCTAATAACAAGAATTCATTAGACAACTTAACTCTTATCAGCGGTCAACAGATGCAACTTTGGGTGGAATACGATGGGATGGACAGGAGAATCGATGTTACATTAGCACCAATAGCTGCTGCCAAACCACATACTCCTCTTTTGTCTTTGACATATGATCTTTAGCCAATTTTAAAGCAAACCATGTATGTTGGCTTTTCTGCGGCCTATAGTCCACTCAAAATAGGAACATCTCATTTTATACTTGGATGGAGCTTCAAGATGAATGGTGTTGCACAAGCTATTGATCTCTCCCAGCTCCCCAAGCTACCTCGGTTTGGACATAAGAAAGTGTCTAAAATTTTCACCGTGGGATTGCCCCTGATTTGCATAACTTTTTCATTAATACTAATATCTGGAGTAGCTTATTATCTAAGGAGAAAGTGGAAGTTTGCAGAAGTGCTAGAAGAATGGGAGCTAGCTTACGGACCTCAGAGGTTCAAGTATAAAGATTTATACATTGCCACCAAGGGGTTCAGAGAACAAGAGCTGTTGGGAGGAGGCGGATTTGGCAGGGTCTACAAAGGCGTGTTGCCAACAAACAGGGTTGAAGTTGCTGTCAAGAAGGTCTCTCATCATGCAAGGCAGGGTATGAGAGGATTTATCGCAGAAATCATCAGTATAGGACGCTTGCACCATAGAAATTTAGTACCGCTCTTGGGTTATTGCCGGCGTAAAGGAGAGTTACTTTTGGTATATGAATTCACGTCCGATGGTAGTCTAGACAGATTTCTGTTCAACCAACCAAAGTGTTCTCTCAACTGGAACCAAAGATTTCGAGTCATCAAAGGTGTGGCGTCAGCATTGCTCCATCTACATGAAGAATGGGAGCAAGTAGTGATCCACCGAGATGTAAAAGCCAGTAATGTTTTGTTAGATGGTGAACTGAATGGAAGATTAGGAGATTTCGGTCTGGCAAGGCTATACGATCATGGAACTCTACCTCAAACCACCCATGTAGCGGGATCTTTTGGGTACCTTGCCCCTGAGTATGGTAGGTCAGGGAGGGCCACAACGAAGACTGATGTATATGCTTTTGGTGCCTTTTTGCTAGAGGTTGCATATGGAAGAAGGGCAATAGATCCCCGAGCAGTACCAGAAGAGAGTATCATTTTGGTTGATTGGGTATTTTTGTGCTGGAAAGAAGGGGATATTCTCCAAGCGGTTGATCAAAAGCTGGGTGCTGAGTATGTGAAAGAGGAAGCAGAATTGGTGTTGAAACTAGGCTTGTTGTGCTCTCATTCAGAAGCAAATCTTAGGCCAAGTATGAGGCAAGTTCTGTTGTACTTGGAGGGATCAGTTGCCCTGCCTGATTTATCATCACTGGCCATGAAGGGTTCTGCTGTTGGTTTTGACGTTTCCACAGACAAATGTTTTTCACATTCTGTAGCAGACTATCTTCTCTCTGACGGTCGGTAATTAAGATGCTTATCTTTCTGATTTATTAATTTTTCACCTTCAAGCTTTTCACGTAAGGTAATACTATCTCTGAGATACATTCTGCTAAAAAAAATATTTTGAGGTATCCTTGACAAATAAGTTTCATCGAAACTTTTTTTTTTATACAGAAAAAATTTGATTTGGAATAAATTTCAATTGTAATGACCTTTAGAGACAAAACAAGTACGAAAAGTAATTTCATGTTGTAAACCTTAGAAATTAAACAATAACATGAAACAAAATTTCCTTAGGGATAAGCTAACTATTTTTTTACTTTTCATTCTATAACAAATAAAAAAATCAAGCTCCAAACCTGAAGGAAACAGAGGAATTAGTAAGAATAATCCTATACACATCTCTTTACATTCACAAAATTTTTACTTGACAAACATTAAAAATTGTGTTTCAATCTAATTTCATAACAACTATTTGTAAATCCATTCCTATGTACTTGTCCATCATTTAACAAATAATTTATCATTAGAAACATTTTGAACCATTACCAACTTTTCTTTCGCCGTTCATTCCTATGTACTTGTCCACTGTTCATGAGAATATTAATTCTTTAAGCATAAAATTCTTTAAATCACAATAAAAACTCGATCTTGCCAAATTATTTCTGCTAATATGTGCATAACATCTATAGCATAACCATAACCTTCTTTTGGTCTTCCGAAATGTTTCTATAATTCAATTCATGCACCATAGCTGCACACATAACTTTCTTTACCAGAATGTTTTCTTTAGAAAATGTAGTTAGCTAAGAAAAAATGAACCATATTAGCTAACTACTAATTGTTGATTTATTTTTGTCTTTTATGGGTTATAAAATGGTATTTACAATTTTGTCTTTTTGTATCTCCTGAAAATTTGTACGTACACAACAATGCTGCAAATCAATAAATATTACTCCCTCCGTCCCACTTTGATTGTCCTATTTCTTTTTTCACACAGTTTAAGAAAAAGTAGTTAACTTTGTTGAAAAAGTAAATTTATATTGCTATTTTCCTAAAATACCCTCACATTAAATATGGTACAATTTTATGGGAACTTGAATTGATGGTAAAAAAAGAATTAACTCTCATTAAATGGGGTAGATTTATAGTAACAACTACTTACATTGAATAAGGGTATTTTAGAAAAATTAAAATACAACTACATTTTTCAATTGAAAAGTGGACTACAATTTGGGACAGATGAAAAAGAAATACAGGACTATCAAAGTGGGACGGAGGGAGTAAGTTAAACTTAACCTTAAGCAAGATACCAGACAACGTTCTCTCTTATACACAACGTGGTACATGCATTAATAATGCCATCGTGGTTTTAATTTTCTTTGGCGCCTCGTAACGCTAACGTCATGTGTTTAAACAGTAGTCATCCTATTTCACAATTAAATTGATCATTAATGTGTTAGTTGATGCTGAATAAAAGTATAAACAAGCTATTCAAATGATGTACGGCGTAAGAAAACTCGTTGTATCAGTTTGTATTCAAAGTAATGAAATACAATAACAAGTCGCCTAATGACTCGTCATTGTAGCACGATCCAGCCATGTCAATGAAACTAGTAACAGCAATCTTAGCCTATTTTCTAGTTCGCATCGGAGTCGGTGCAGCAGCTTCTGATGATGTTGGGTTCATCTATCAGGGATTTCAGTCATCAAATCTAAGCCTGGATGGATTAACCAAAGTCACCGATAATGGCCTTCTACGGATAACCAACAACACCAAATCACAAAGTGGGCATGCCTTCTATCCTAATCCCATCAACTTCCAGAGCACATCTAACAGTTCAGCTTTCTCCTTTTCCACCCAATTTGTGTTTGCTATAGTACCCGATGTCCCTGGACTGATTGGTTCCGGAATGGCTTTCGTGATTGCACCAACAAGAAACCATACAGGAGGGCCTATGTCACGGTTCAATATTATGGAAACTCTCGGCCTCTTTGATACACCCGCCAATGGAAGTCAGAATAATCACGTTTTTGCTGTGGAGCTTGACACTTTCCAAAACCAAGATTATGATGATATTAATGCCAACCATGTTGGCATTGATATTAACTCTGTGAGGTCCAAGGCATCTAGGCCAGCAAGTTACAAAGCTAATAACAAGAATTCATTTGACAACTTAACTCTTGCCAGCGGCCAGCCACTGCAATTATGGGTGGAATACGATGGGGCGGATAGAAGAATCGATGTTACATTAGCTCCAGTAGCAGCTGCCAAGCCACATACTCCTCTTCTGTCTTTGACATATGACCTGTCGCCAATTTTACAGGAAACCATGTATGTTGGCTTTTCTGCAGCCACTAGCCCACTCGAAAGAGGAACATCTCATTTTATACTTGGATGGAGCTTTAGGATGAATGGGGTTGCGCAAGCCCTTGATCTCTCTCAGCTGCCCGAGCTACCTCGGTCTGGACATAAGAAAGTGTCTAAATTTTTCACCGTGGGGTTGCCCCTGATTTTCTTACTTTTGTGGTTAATACTAATACCTGGAGTAGCTTATTATCTAAAGAGAAAGTCGAAGTTTGCTGAAGTGCTGGAAGAATGGGAGCTTGCTTACGGACCTCACAGGTTCAAGTATCAAGATTTGTACATTGCCACCAATGGATTCACAGAAAAGCAGCTGTTAGGAAAAGGCGGGTTTGGCAGGGTCTACAAAGGCGTTTTGCCAACAAACAATCTTGAGGTTGCTGTCAAGAAGGTCTCTTATCATGCAAGACAGGGAATGAGAGCATTTGTTGCAGAAATCGTCAGTATTGGTCGATTGAGTCATAGAAATTTAGCACCGTTGTTGGGTTATTGCCGGCGTAAAGAAGAGTTACTCTTGGTATACGAGTTCATGTCCAATAGTAGTCTGGACAGGTTTCTGTACAACCAACCAAAGTACGCTCTCAACTGGAGCCAAAGATTTCGAGTTATCAAAGGTGTAGCGTCAGGATTATTCTATCTACACGAAGAATGGGAGCAAGTAGTGATCCACCGAGATGTAAAAGCCAGTAATGTATTGTTAGACGGTGAACTGAATGGAAGATTAGGAGATTTCGGTCTGGCAAGGCTATACGATCATGGAACTCTCCCTCAACGCACCCATGTAGCTGGATCTCTTGGCTACCTTGCCCCTGAGTATAGTAGGACAGGGAGGGCCACAACAAGCACTGATGTATATGCTTTTGGGGCCTTTTTGCTGGAGGTTGCCTGTGGAAGAAGGCCAATAGAACCCCGAGCAGAACCAGAAGAGAATATCATTTTGATTGATTGGGTATTTTCGTGCTGGAAAACAGGTTGTATACTCCAGGCAGTTGATCATAATTTGGGTAATGAGTATGTGAAAGAAGAAGCGGAATTGGTGTTGAAACTGGGCTTGTTATGCTCTCATTCAGAACCAAAGATTAGGCCAAGTATGAGACAAGTTCTGTTGTACTTGGAGGGATCAGTTGCCTTACCAGTATGGGGCTTTTCTGCTGTTGATCTTGGCTTCGCCCATCCTACTGTTGGAGCTTCCACAGACAATTGTTTCTCACATTCTGTAGTAGACTCTGTTCTCTCTGGCGGTCGGTAACTTTTCTAAATTTAGGAAAATAAAAGTGCTTATTTTGTCGAGTGCATTTTTATTTTCTTTCTACCCACGAGAGCTCCTTGTACTGTTTATTAGTGTGGCATCTCAAATATGCAATGTTTTAGTATTGAAGCCTTTTCTTTTCCCCTTTTCTGTGTTTTCTATTTTCTAGTTTCTGTATGTCTTGTAAAAAGATTCATTCATGTAGAACTCGAATTTAAAATTCAAATAATAATAAATATGTGCAGGGTTATAGAATTGAAGGAAGAATATAATCATTCGAATTATTTATGTGGGAGAATGAGAGAGCAATAAACGCAACTCACAATATTATTAAAATTTTAAACAATAGAAGAAAATGACATCACAATAAAATCCTATAAACACTCTTAAGCTCTCTTAAGAAAATACCTAAACTATTGCCCTATTTATAACTTATTAAGAGTTTTAAAATAAGAAATCACTTGCATAAAAATTATCAAATAAAATACAAAATCATAAATAATACAACTACCTTAAACCTAACTTCAATAAAACTAGTGGATAAATAAATAGAAACTTTGAAGTTTGGTTTATTTTGCCAACAATTAGTAGCAGTTAATCATTAACATGTTTTTTAAGAGCAAAATTAAATTGTTGCACTAAAACATTGTGGAAATCATCCCATCACACCTATGCATAAGAGCAAAGATAGCCCAGAGCACAGAAGATCCAACAATTAAATGCCCAAAGACTGAAACTGTCTGGTCCTTTACCCCAAAACGACTCACATTTTTGTCTGAACAACTCAATCGATCTTTTCAATTGTTTGACACTTCATTGAACTTTTCGTCCATTACTCATGCTTCTTGATTGCTAGCAATTAATTGTTAGTTTCAGTTAAATGTTCCATCAAATTTCAAAATTAGCTTGATAACGATTTTCTGTGAGCTCATTATATGTATATATATATATATATATATATTATATGTTGAAGAAGAGCAAAGGAAATAAGAATGAAGTCAAATGAACTTCATAGTATAATCAACGAAAGGGACCGTTTAGTACCAAAGTCTTTGGACAGATACAATCTGGATTTTAATGTATTTCTACCTTTGGTCCAGTGGTCACTTCCAAACCTTCTAAGATTTAGTGGTGCGGGAGGTCAAGGTTCGAATCTTGCCGGTTCGAATCTTGTCTCGAATCTTGCCTCCCACAAAAAGTCATAATATGTGACGGTTTTTATTGGCCATTTTTAATAGAATTTCTACTCATATCGAATCCCCTCCTCCTCCTCTCAGATTAGATTAGGTTATAGAAATTCTATCCTTGAGCCCTAACATGCATGGTCTTAATTTGATTTTGTTAGATTAAAGGAGTGCTCCGACATCTCCTTTGAATTTTTTTTACTGCTAGTGCAGTTAGGGCTGTGCAT